TGGACAAGTGCAGGATTTCACAGCATGCTCTCAGACTAATGACAAAAAAGGAAAGTGAGAGTCCAATAATCACTTGAAAAGAGCTGCAGGAGGACCTGAAAACAGCAGGAACAACAGTTACACAGAGAACGATAATGAACTGCACCGCAATCATCTCCATTCCTAGACCCCAAAAACCCCTCTGTTAAAAAAGAAGCTCGGAGATGAGAGCACTCAGGTCAGAAGAGGCAAAAATAGAACTCTTTGACCATAATTTAGCGTGTCATCTTTGGAGAAAGAAGGGTTGTCCAAGAACACCCACAGTGAAGCATGATGGTGGGAGCTGCTTCTCTGCAAACAGTACTGGGGCTTTACACATGATCCAAAGAAAACATGAATGAAGTGATGTACCAGTAGATACTAGAGGAGTATTTAAACTCATCAGCCAAAAAGGTGAATATGGGGAGACGTTTAAACAAGAAAAAGACTTCAAAAATACAGCCAAAAAAAATCTAGACTGGTTTCCATATATGTGCTTGCATGACCCAGCCAATCTCCTGACTTGAATCGCACTGAAAATTTTGAAACTGTGAGTCCATCAGAGGGAACCTTAGGAAATTGAAGACGGGTTGCCAAGAGGAATAGGCTAAAACATGAGCACAAGAAGCTGCAAGAAGCTAATTAGGTTTTCTGTAGATGTCTTGATGGTTTAATTGCCAACAAAATTTGGATTTACAAAAACAATGTGTTCATTTTATGCTTATGAATGCATTTTTTGTTTGCATACTTCTACAAAGTCAAAATACATTGTGTGTAAATAAAGTGGATATGCACTGGAAATATGTTAAATAACAAAAAAAAGTACCTGTTTTCCCCCATTGTATGCACTCATACACGCAGAAACACAGAAATAAGGCAGAATGGAAACAGCAGCTACTGCTGAAGAAGCAGCTGCGAGTGGGGTTAGGATGATGGTGTGCACATATGTGAATACTGGCTGGATCCTCAACCCACCCCACCAAAAAAAGGCTCAAAAAAGCAAGCAGGAAGAGACGAGCAGTCCTCTTCTTCTCTAACACCAGCAACATTTCCATCCATAGTTGTGTTTATTCATAGATCCTAATATGTAAAAGATTCAGATTATTTACACCCCAATTGCTTAAATATACTTTCCAAAACTCTAAACACAAACGTGCACCCTAACTGTAAAAGTCTGAAGAGATGCTATGCTAGGGGCTCCCTATCCTAGGGTTGCAGTCATGCGATTTTTCTGTTGTGGCCGCCATATTTGGGACCAAACGTCTGGCTTTGCTGCTCCACACGAATGTAACTAGAGGTGAAAGATGGCTAAAATTACTCGCCTTATTCTGGAAGACAAAAAATGTTACCTCGACAAAGTAGATAAAACAGGCTGTGATCCTTATACAGTTTCCCCTGAACTCCTGGTTCCACTTAAACTGGTGGAAAACTACCAAATTAGTGATTTCCTGACATATATATCTCATACACAACCCCCCTCACTATTGTGGAAGGTCTCTCAAAGCATTTAAAAGCACAGAAGCCCACCGGCTCTTCATGTCAGGGTGGGTAAAGGATCCCATGGTGTTGCATAAAGAGGAAAAAACTCCTTGTCATCATAGGAGGGTAACGACATCATCTAATTAACCCACACTAGCCTTTAGATAACTTTTGCTAATGTTAACAGCCGAGAGATTAACAGTCGCCCCCTAACGGAGCTGCAAACAGCCGGTATAACTTTACTCTCTGTTTCTGGAGATTTAAATGACGTTTGAATGGAGAAACAATGTAAGACTGAATGTTGTGGGTCATCAAACTACTTAGTGATACTTCAGTAAAGAAAAAGACATTGTGTTAGGGTGGTCGCTATCAATTATATTAGCAATGAAATGATCACTAGATTATCTGACAATTCAACTCGACTTAAATAATCAATAACAGACCATGCCTTTCCTTCAAGAAGGTCTATTTTAAGTGATGATCAAGTAGTCATGATATGTGAGTACATTACAGATTTTGCACCTTGTGTTTAGAGTTTTGAAAGTCGTTCAAATTTTGTAATTTTAGTGTATTTGTGCTTTTTGTGTGAAATAAACCATCCATTAAACTCATCAGCTAATTTTATAGATGATCTTATTGGAAACAAACCCAAATATACACTGGGGTCACTTTAAGACTTAATATCAATGACAACCACAGTGAGTCCCTTCTATTCCCAGCAATATTCTTTAGTCCATTCATCCATCTGACTGCTGACCCGTCCCTCCTAACAGCATATATGAAAAAAGAATCTACGATCGTTCCGTTTGTTTGGCTCTCAGCACCACTGAAATAGTCGACGATGGCAGTGATCTGGGACAAGTTTCTTTGTATACAACAATTAATCTTTTTTTTTACCTTCAGAAGTTTAATATTCAATGAAAAATAAATTTCATTTCTTTTTTGTTTGTTTGTTCCATACATTGACACACAACATCCAGAGCTACACATCGCAGGACCGCACATTTACAAAATAGAACCTCATGCGGAAAAATAAAAAACAAAAAACTAAACAGTTCTTCCTTCCTCCTTTATGTGGTTCCGCATCGTCTGGTCTGACCCTGTGGGGCGACGGTGTGTTGTGTCATTTTGCTGTGCAAGTGTGTGTGTGTGAGTGTGAGTGTGTGTCTGTGGGTTTGCGGTCAGATGTTGTTCTGTGTTTCAGGCCAAAACCCCACCAACAGTGGAAGCAATAACAATACCTAACACCACACAGCAGATCAGAATCATTATTTTCTTCTGCAAATCATAGACAGACAGACAGACAGATAGATAGACAAATAGACAGACAGACAGAGAGACATATAGATAGATAGACAGATAGACAGATAGATAGACAGACAGAGAGACATATAGATAGATAGATAGATAGATAGATAGACAGATACATAGATAGACAGACAGATACACAGACAGACAAATTGACCGATAGATTGGGAGACAGACAGGCAGACGGATAGATAGATAGATAGATAGATAAAAGATAAACAGACAGACAGATAGAAAGATAAGATAGACAGATAGATAGACATACAGACAGACAGACATAGATAAACAGATTGATAGATAAATAAATAGATAAACAGACACACAGTTAGATAGACAGACAGATAAATAGACAGACAGACAGACAGACAGACAGACAGATAGATAGATAGATAGATAGATAGATAGAAAGATAGATAGATAGAAAGATAGATAGATAGATAGATAGATAGATAGATAGATAGATAGATAGATATTAAAAATGAAAAAAAAGTCCAGGATGCATGAAATGAGAAAAACAAAAGAGTTGTTAATTTGCTTTTATTAGTACAGTTATTAATGAAAATGAAAAAATAGTCATTACCAGCACAAAAACACAGATAACTTCAAATGCAGTCCTTTAACTAAAAAACACTTTATTTGAATGTTACCTACACAGAGACTCCGTAACACCCGCACTGAATAACATGTTCATGAAGCAGTGCCAGTAATGCCAAGATGATGCAAGATGTTTTAAGAAGTGCATTGTATTGACATGAGATCTTCAACTTAAGTGATGAACATCTGCTCCATTAATAACACTGTTATGAAGCATCATTCCAAACAATGGAAGTTTTTAAGGCAGAGGCCTGTTAGGAACACCATATAAGAGTTTTCTATAGGAGACTTCTACTTTGGGTACAAAAATACAGCCTCAATTAAGGAGACCTTTCTGACAGCAAACATTAACAACTAACACTGTTTTTCATGTTTACATGTGCTAAATAGAAATTGTTAATCAGAATAACAGCTTAATAACTGTAATCATTTGCAGTACATTTTGAGACTCAAGAACATTTAAAAGCAAGTACTTTTGTACTCAAGTAGAAATTTAGACTGCTTATACTGAAGTAATGTTTTACTAAGGGTATTAATACTTTCACTCAAGTACAGAATTTTGAATACAATGCCAATTACTTTTTTAAACATTTTATATCATCTTGTATAAGCTGTTTATAAATCTTGAAGTATTACTTTATAATTGTTATTTAGAGCTTATGCATGTGTTATAAAGTCTGTATGTAGGTAGTCTTCAGAAACGTGTTATCAAATTGTGTGATTTTTAGAAAGAGACCTTCTTTTCATTTAAACTAAAACAGCTTTAGTCACAAATAAAACATTACAGATGCTCCGGGAGTCATACAGTGGGATGCAAAAGTTTGGGCACCCCCGTTGATTTTGTAAGCGTAAATAGGTTAAGACGTCTTTCACAGAGAACACACTTTTTTATTTTATTTGTTTATTTGTTTGTTTATTTGCTGGATTTTTAATGTTTTATTTTTTTTCCAAATGTTAAACTCGGTAAATAAATTGAAATTGTGCACTAAAAGTAGCAGGAAAAAAGGCCATATTGAAGTTGGTTCTCTGAAGAGGGTGTGTCAACTTATGTCATTTGCCTGGGGGGTGTTCAAACTTGGCATACAACGTATGTTAATATACAGTCACAAACTGAAATTATATGCAAAAACAAAATCCATTACTCATGCAAAGGTTGTATGAGGCACACATGCTTGAATGAATACGCCACATAGGGGAGTCAGAATCCATCAAATTCAAACAATTCGGGAGTGTTTGGGACTCATGTACACTCTCAGATTTACCGTTCACCTGATCTGATGTGTGTTTATGGGTCATAACACACATAAGCACAAATAAAACAAGATATGTCTCATGAACAGAGATCAGCAACGTCTTCACAGAAGAAAATCACAAACATGCCCCAACATGAAGTGCAAGCATGGAGATAAGGCAACACACAGCTGGCAATGATACAGCAGGCTGTCCAATCAGCACAGAGAACAAGGAGGAAAGAGTGAGGTAGGTGGAATGTTCCACAGGCTGGCTCAGTCCCAAAAGTTCAATGCAACAATGCAAAACTGCCTCATTTAGAAATAGCTGTTAAATAGTGTGTGAATGAGAATACACTCACTGTCCACTTTCTTAGAAACATTTGTCTTTCTTTATTAGAATCACCCACATTACTGTGCAAAAATCAGAGACCACCCTGCATTTTTTATACAAGTTTTTATACATACAAGTTATTCATTTTCCAGCATCAGTAAAAAAAGCTAACATATATGTCACTGTTGTCAGAAGAAAACCTTGTACCTCTATTTTTGACATTGTTCTGTTATTAACATAATTTGTAAGGGCTGGCTCCAGGGCTGAGACGCTCCCGGCCACCAAAGGGAGACGACGCACATCTCCTACGTCTGAACAAGCCCAGCGTCCTACACCTGGGCAGAGGGCTTTATAAGCGCAGAGAAGAAGATCCACATTGCTGTGTCTTTGTCTCATTGTGAGCCAACAGAAACGGCCGGTAATTTTGTTAAGAGGGCTGGGAGTTTTGCACTCCCCCCTCACTTTTTGAGTTCCTCCAGCCTCCTCTCGAGAGTTCCTTCTCTGCTGTCTGGGAAAAAAACTTCTTTCTGTTCTGTTTCTGTTGGGAAAGTCATTTGTCTTTTGTCAGTTACTTCATTTTCTCTCGACTTCTGAGGAAGCCAGTTTTCCCCTGGCATCCTTTGTTCTTTTTCCCGCCTGACAAAAACAGGTGGGTTTACAAATTCAGACAGCTTTTTATGTATCATTTTCGGGCAATCCCATATAAGAGCGCTCCTTTTAGTTGTCTTCACCACGGCTGCAGTGGTGTAGCGGTGATGAGTTCGATCCCCGGACTCATCAGGTGCTTAAGTTCTTTAGTTCAGCTCATCCATCTGCTGTACCTAAGCTTGGCACTTGGGTCCTGTGTTCCTAACACCTGTGGTCGCTCACCTTATAGGCCCTGGAATAAAACTCAGACAGCCTGGGTTTACATCCTCAGTCTGGTGAGCCATCCACCGTTACACCTGTTGTCTTTCACGTTGCGTGTAAATTTCATGATGATTGGACCAAAAGAAACAGCCCAAAATGACTTGGAAAAATGTCTGGTTCCACTGACTTACATTAAAAGTAAAATATGTTTTTCCTTTTCCTGTAAAGTTATTATTTTGGAGATGCGAGGTTTTCTTCTGACAACAGCGATATATCAGAAAATTACACAGAAGAGTCAACAACTAAACATTTTTTTCAGTATTTACTGCGTCCACTCTTTACTAGGGGTGGGAATCACAGGGCATCTCACAATACAATATTATCATGATACACTGCGTACGATAAAGAGGCTATCTTGATACTGCGATTCTGTGACACAGAAAAAAAAAACAAATATACATTTGTACAAAAAAATTTAGCCTATTCATTTGAAAAGCGCCTTAACGCCACCATGTGGAGGCATGAAGAAGTAAATTTGGTAAATCAAATTGGAGGAGGAGTCCGTTTAGAGCGTTTACAATACATGCATGTTTCAATAAATAAATCGATTTTTGGCGCCAGTGTATCGATAACATCGCAAAAAAAGTGATACATTTTATCGCTGTATCGATATTTTATCACACCCCTGCTCTTCACCTTTATTAGGGCTTCCATTCTTTTCAGGAGACTCACTTTCAGTTTCTCAAAGAATCTGCAGACACACCTCCAAAGTTCAGTCTTAGAAGTTGGTTGCATTTTCTGCTTCTAACAAACCAAGTGATCCCAACTGCAAATTTAGACTCATCGGCCCATATAATAATTATTCAGATGTCTACATTTAGTGTGCTATTACAAGTTTTCTTTTTTCCATTTCTCAGTGAGGTTCTTCTTGACAGCTCCACATCCTTTCAGACCCATAGCGCTGAATCGTCTTCTCACAGTGGAAGGATGGACAGAAACACCTGTGGATGTTTTCAGATCTGAAGCAGCTTGATTTTCTCCTCTCTCTCAAAGATGAAAGCTTTAAGTGCTGTTTATCAGATGGGGGCAGTTTTGGTGTCTACCAGGTCTTCCAGGTGGTTGTTAGGAGTCCCAGTCTCTCTGTAGCTTTTAATCTTTTTTGAAGTTTCGGAAACCTTTTTCATTTTTTGTTCCTTTGACTTCTTCCTTCTTTATGCACGTGGACTATCTTACATCTGATCTCCTCAGAAATATTTCCTGAATAATGAATAACTTGTTTTTTTTCACTTGAAATTAAATACATGAAGGGTGGTCCCTGACTTTTGCACAATACTGTGCCTTGTACGTCCACTATATTGGTGTATAATTACAGACTGTAGCCCATCTGTCAGCCCCTCTCTACTTCACTCATCATTGGTCAGCTTCTGACTACAGGACCACTGTAGGTCCAGGCATTTGTGTGGTGGTGCATTCTCAGCACAGCAGTTACACTGACATGGTAGTGTGTGGTGCTGTATGAATGACACAATGGTGTAGCTGGGGATTTACTGGAGGCCAAGAGCAGCTCTGTGGTCAGAAACTGACAATTGATGAAAGACTAGTGGATGACAAACACAAACGGTGCATCAACAGATGAGCTACAGTCTCTAACAGTACACCAGCAAGATTACTGAGACAATATTATTCTACATTATTAATTCTGTCTTATTAAGTTTGATTAACTCTTCAAAATTAATTAAACAAGTCTGATAAATAATTAAATTGCTGTTTTGCCATATTATTAACTTTACTTCAGCAAAAAACTCAAATAATCCATCCATGCTTCGTCTAGCATGAGCTTGAGGAACTCGAGCTTGACTGCTTTGTAAGGTCCCGTCCAGGGTTGGGGGCTTCTCTAAGTGAACTGCTCCCCTGGCTAGCTGAGCCCGACGGCCAGTGAGATGATGAGGATGAGCAGACAGATTGCCACACAGACACCTAACGCAATCAACTTCTGTGAGAGAGAAAGACAGCGAGACTTAGAGGCCCTTTAATAAGGGCCTGTATAATAATAAAGGTCATTTAAGATGATGTAGGCTCCTTATGGCTTATCTTAGTGTTTTGCTTGTAGGTCATTGTATGGCATTACTGACCACTGCTACTAACTTGGCAGGCCACGTTGAATATGTGAATATAGGACCCTTTGAGCTTTAACTTGCCATTACGTCTTTAACAATCAAGACCTGTGACAGTTTGGTAGTAATATTCAAAAACAGTGAGGCATTAAACTAAAATGTAATATGCTATTTGTTGTGTTATTTACTACTTTGTAGCACAGCATCTCTTTTCTCTTAGCTTCATCATTTTGATAGGGTTTACAATTTTGTACTGTCCTGTTTGTGACCATCAGTGTTCCCTCACAGCAATACTCACTATACATCACACAAATACAACCCAGAACCATTTGGAGCCTCCTGCACTCAACAAATAGCCACTGATCTACACGCTAACATATACTAGCTAGCAGTGCAGCACTGAGCTCAATCACTCATAGAACAAACTACATTGTTTCTTCATCCAACACAAAATTCTGTTGTTTTTTACTGTTAGAAAAAAGCAGTTAGCGGCTGTATGCAGAAAACTGTCCACGCAGCATTTCAAACCTGATGACCACAAGCACTGATGGACATTAACGAAGTAAATGTAATTCGTTACTGTACTGTAAGTAGTTTTTTCCTGTATCTTTACTTTTCCATTTTGGATGACTTTTTACTTTCACTCCACTACATTTCAAAGTCAAATATCTTACTTTTTACTCCACTACATTATGAGAAATCTGTCCTTCCTTTTGGCTTATGTGAGCATAAAAATGTAGCATGTCAAAACGACTGAAGCGCAAAGCAAGCGCACCAATCAGGGTACGGCACACACTTTGTTCTGAGCTTGTTTTGACCTGTTGGACATACTGATCCACACTATAGTTAGGTCACTTCAGCAAGTAAAGCAGGACGGGGTTAATGCAAACCCTGACTGACAATCACACATCAAAGAATGAGTGAACAGATATAACATATTGCTCTCGACTTTCTGGGTAAATAGACCATAATATAGAAATACGTACACATATGCTGTTGTGACTGGCATGTTTCTTTTTTCTGAATTTATATAAACACATTTCCTTTTATAGTAAATTCGTTTCGGCTAGTTTATGTTTATGAACAGAGACCTACAGATGCAGTATAGTAAGTAAAACTCATCTGTGAACCTGTGAACAAAGTTGCAAATAAATCTTATACCGAAACTTTATTTGTTTGCAAAAAGTTATTTCAGAGCCACTCAGTTCTACCTAACGGAAATTGTTTAGCCTTCAGTGTTTTGTGCTTATGATAATTTTAACAGACACCAGCATCAGACTAATTAATGACATTCTATTAAAAAGACTGGTTTACCAAGAGTGACACTGGAGTATTTTCACCTGAAATTAGTTGATTAAGCAAGAGTCTTGTTATAAAAATGATGATAGGACATCAGAGCCATAATTAATCTTTTAGTACTTTCACTTTCAATGCTTAAGTACATTAGAAGGAAAATACTTTTGTATTTTACTCAAGTGGAGGTCTAAAGGGAGGAACTTCTACTTTTACTGGAGTAATATTTTACCTTGGGTATCTCTACTTTAACTCAAGTACATGATTTGTCTACTTTGTCCACCACTGACCACAAGAAATCTTATTTACTGGGATATTCACTGAACCAGATTGTACAGAAAGAGTGATTCCATTAGCAGAGACAAATTCCTTGCCTCCTCAGTCAGAGAAAATTAGCTGAACCTTGGTATGGTAACTAGCTAGCTAAGTAGTTGCTTTGCTAACTTTACTTTTTAGCATGTTGTCATCCAACAAGACATTTTTGTCACTCGAGTAATCCACGCTCAATGCTGATTTGAAGACAGTTAGGAAAGTTATGCTACAGTCAGAAGATTTTTCCTAGCAGTAACATTAGCATCTAGCTTCCTTCTGTATTAGCTCAACCACATTAGCCAGCAACTGCATCACCATTTTAACCCTGCATTTGCAGTAGCAGCAGACAGAGCAACAGGTGACCAGTCATTTCTTATGGAAGTAGCTGCAGTTTGGCGACTATACTACACTGTGGCTGCAGTGACAAATCAAGATTTTCTCAACTTTATGCAAATGAATTATGATGCGGTGAGGCATCCATAAATCGCAGACATGGGCATCCAAGGTCCTAAACTTTTTGTTCCGATTAGCTTTTTAACAAAATGGTGATACACATATAGTATATATTCTTTACATGTTCTTATCATAAACTGGACAGTGCCTACGTGCAACAACAAGAGCCTCGAACACGTCCACAGGAGACAAACTTGAGGCAACATTAGTGACTTGTTGCCTCCTAATGTGATCATGCCGTAAGTAGTGAGCAGGTAAGTTGACCACATATGTATCAATGACAAAATTTTAAAACTTTATATTGTCTCTAATAACTGTGTAGTTACATGGGAACAACATATGTAACAACAATGTAACTACTAATGATTCTGTCACTGTTACAGATGGATTATAGAAGTACACCTTATGTAATTACACAAGTGTATCAACTTCAGTTTTGCCTCATGGAATTACACAAATGTATCTTAATAGTTGTAACAGCCTATTCTTTCTCATGTAATTACACAAGGACAATAACGTTAAGTTTAATTACATTTGTAATTAGACTGGAAAAGCATTTTTTTTTAAAATTTTTTTCAGCAGTAAAAGGAAGTATGTAATAACTTACATTAAGACATTACTTGCACTGTATCTGCCAGCTTTCCTAACATTTAGCTAGCATTTATGTTGCTGTTGCTGAGACATTGTAACCAGTTTCAGCTTTAAACCATTCTGTAATGTGACAGTACAGCAGACGTCCCCTTATCTTAAAATGTAACTTTTGCGACATTAATAAAATGTGCTGCATTAAACCCAAAGCACTGTCTATATTACCACTGCTTTATTACACAGCACCTACATAACAACTACACAGGAACTGTCCACTTATTTTAAAGTGTAACTTTAACACTACACTACAGGAAAGTGTAGAAGATACACTTGTGTAATTACATGAGGCAAAACTGAAGTTGATACACATGTGTAATTACATAGGCTGTACTTCTGTAATCCAGCTGTAACATTGACTAAATCATCAGTAGTTACAGTGTTGTTGCATATGTTATTCATGTGTAACCAGAAAGTTAATAGAGACACAATATAAAGTGGAACCGAATATATTAATTTAATATTAATTTGTCACCCAGAATATTCTACCTTCAGTACTTATTGTCCTGTCATATGAGGTCACTAATGATCAGTTGATCAGCCTTAACACATGCAGTCCTGCTCCGCCCCTTTTTACCTCACTCCTCTGAGAACCAGCACGAACACAAAGCAAAGCACTGCCACAGGCATGATACAGGACAGATGGAAGAGAAAAGGACAGGTGGGCGTCATGTACGCTGGTCCCGCGTGCCTCTGACTCACCCGCCGTGCTTTGCTCTGGTACTTTACTGCCTTCTTGGTGTCTGACACGGCCCTCTCCACGTAATCCACCGCGTGCTCCACGTTATACTCTATACGGTCGATCATCTCTCCCTGACCGGTGCATGGGTGAGACAGCGAGCAAGAAGGGAGGGTGGAAAGCAAGAAGGAGGGATGGGAAAGAAAAAGAGGAGAGGAGAAAGGGGGAACGGGGAGACATGGAGAGGAAAGAGGAAAAGAGAGAGAGAGAGACTTTAGAGAGCAGCCATGGACTGGTCAAGCTGTTACTCACCACCTTGCTTGTTTTTTGGACTTTAATGGCTGTTTTGGTGTCTTCTTTGGCCTTCTCCACATACTCCTGTGCGTTGCGCACACTGGATTCTATGTTGTCAATAAGCTCCCCCTACAGGAAGAGAATGGAAAGACAACTCGTTTACTTGGTGAACCATAAACATGGTCAACTTCTCCTTAAACTATTACTGTAAGGGCTGATTTCTTGTACATGGATTAAACCTAGACTTGGTACAACTGCAAGGCCGATGTTGTTATTGCTAAAAAATAATTTTAGTCTAGGTTTAGGCTTAATCTGAATCTGAAATCAGCCGCATGCCCAGGAAATCAGAGACAAACTTACTAAAAATATGGTAGACACTAGGGTCTGACCGATATATTGGCCAATAATACTGGCCAAAACATGTGTCAGAAGGAATTTATTGGCATTGGATAAAATTTACTGATGATTTGTGGCTTGTTTTATATTGTAACAACTGGATACCTCAGTTAAAACTGTGGCAGAGATAAAAGCTGCATTGGGAGTCTTGCCCCACTTGTGGAGCACTTCAATTTTGAGTAGTCTCTTTTAAATAAAGGGCTCTAAAAAAAAAAAAATTGATAAATTCAGTGGTTAAAATATTCAAACATGTACACAAAAACATTTTTAATATTCAAAACCTTTATCACCCATGTGAAAAAGTAATTGCCCCCAAACGTAATATCTGGTAGTGCCGCCCTTGGCAGTAACAACTGCAATCAAATGTTTGTGATAACTTGTGATGAGTCTTTTACATCACTGAGGAGAGATTTTGGCCCATTGTTTTCATTTGGCTACACTGGGGGGTTTTCGGGCAAGAACTGCCCATTTAAGGTCTTGCCAGAGCATCTCAAAGGAAGTCAGGACTTCGACTCAGCCACTACAAAACCCTAATTTTGTTTCTTTTGAGCCATTCAGAGGTGGACTTGCTTGTGGATCATTGTCCTGCTGCTTGTCCTAAAAGTCTTAGGGGTCATCTACAACACCATCTCCAATAAAGTTGGGAGGCTGTGTAGAATGTAAATAAAAATAGAATGCAATGAAATGCAAATCATGTAAATCATACTTTTAAAGGAAAATACTACAAAGACAGCATTTCAAATGTTGAAACTGAGAAATCTTATTGTTTTTTGAAAAATACATGCCCTTTTTGAATTTGTTGCCAACAACACGTTCCAAAAAATTTGGGACGGGTTCATGTTTACCACTGTGTTTCATCACCTCTTCTTTTAACAACACTCTGTAAGTGTTTGGGAACTGAGGAGACACTGCTGTAGTTTTGAACGTGAAATGTTTTCCCATTCTTGTTTGGAACAGGATTTCAGCTGCTCAAAAGTTTGGGGTTTTCTTTTGTTGTACTTTTCATTTCATAATGCACCAAATGTTATCAGTGGTGACAGGTCTGGACTGCAGGCATGCCAGTTTAGCACCCGGACTCTTTTAATACGGAGCCATGCTGTTGTAATACATGCAGAATGTGATTTGACATTGTCTTGCTGAAATAATCAAGGCCTTCCCTGAAAAAGACTCAGGCTGCATGGCAGCATATGTTGCCAAATCATGTATATATCATTCAGCATTAATGGTGTCTTCACAGATGTGCATGTCACTCATGCCATGTGCACTAATGCTCCCCTATACCATCATGAATACTGGCTTTTGAACTGTGCACTGATCACAAGCCGAGTGGTCTTTAGCCCAGAGGACACAGTGTTCATGATTTCCAAAAAGAATTTCAAATGTTGATTCATTGGACCACAGAACACTTTTCACTTCCACTCAGTCCATTTTAATTTAGTTTGGGCCCAGAGAAGGTGGCAGCATTTCTGGATCCCATTTATATATGACTTCTTCTTTGCATTTTAGAGTTTAACTAGCATTTGTAGATGCAGCGACAAACTGTGTTTATAGACAGTGGTTTTGAAAAGTGTTTCCTGAGCCCATGCAGTGATTTCCACTACAGAATCATGTCTGTTTTTAATGCAGTGCCAAAGATCACGGCCAGCAAATACTGTTTTTTTGCCTTGCCCTTTTTTTTTCTCCAGTTTCTCTGAATCTTTTAATGTTATTATGTACCGTAGATGATAAAAAGCAAAAGTTCTGCTGTTTTATGTTGAGAAACGTCATTCTTGAATTGTTGCACTATTTGCTCATGCAGTCTTTCACAGAGTGGTGAACCCCTCCACATCTTTACTTCTGAAAGTAAAGATGAGGAGGGAGGCTCTTTTTATACACAGTCATGTTACTGACCTATTGCCAATCAACCACCAGGTGTTTTTTTTTAGCATTACATAACCATTTACCAGCCTTTTGTTGCCCCATCCCAACTTTTTTGGAACATGTTGTTGGCATCAAATTCAAAATGGGCAAATATTTTTCCATAATCAATAAAAATGTCTCAGTTTCAACATTTGATATGTTGTCTTTGTACTATTTTCAATGAAATATAGTGTTTAAATCATCTGCACATCATTGCATTTTGTTTGTATTTACATTTTGCACAGCGACCCAACTTTTATGGAAATGGGGTTGTAGATGTTTTCTGGCAAATGCGAGACGAGCCCTTGTGTTCTTTTTGGTCAGCAATGATTTGTGCCTTGCAACTGTTCCATGGATGCCATTTTGCCCAGTATCTTTCTTATTGTGAAATCATGCACATTTACCTTAACTGAGGCAAGTGAGGCCTGCAGTTCTTTAGATGCTTGTCTGGGTTCTTTTGTGACTTCCTGGATGAGTTGTCGGTGCACTCTTGGTGATATTTTGGTAGGCTGACCTCTCCTGGGAAGGTTCACCACTGTTCCAAGTTTTCTCCATTTATGGATAATAGCTCTCACTGTGGTTTGCTAGAGTCCCAGAGCCTTAGCAATAGCTTTGTAACTGTTTCCAGACTGATTTCTATGACTTTGTTTCATATCTGTAATTGAATCTTGTCAGAACGTGGCATCATGTGCTGCTTTCTGAGACCTTCTAGCTGCTTCACATTGCCAGACACGTTCTATTTAAGTGATATTTAGGTTCAACAGGTCTGGCAGTAACCATGCCTGGGTGTGGCTAGTGAAATTGAACCCAATAGTCAATTGAATTTGGTTAACTGGTAGATTTAGTAGCTAAGGGGGCAGTTACTTTTTCACACAGGGACGGGTTGGGCTGAACAGCATTTTTCCTTAAATAAGTGAAATCATCATTTAAAAACAGCACTTTGTGTTTACTTGGGTTATCTTTAGCTAATATTACAAGTAAGGGGGTAAAATACTTTTTCACAGCACTGTATAAAGCATTCGTTAGTTAGAGCCCTATTTATATATGAATTGTGCTTAATATGATCATAGGCATGATCTTACATCACCAATAAGGTCAATTTTGATTTCAGTTTGACTTTAAGACTTCGAGACTTGTTGCTGTTTGCTGTTGGTAATAAACTGACAGTCATGTAAGTCAGTAAAGCACTGTCTATCTAAGGCTATTGGATTTTTGAGCATATTAAACTACAATATTATCAGTTATCAAAAATTTAAACTCCTTAAAATTGATATTGGCTTCAGTCACACATTTTTCAAATCGGTCAGGCCCTAGCAGGCGCACATAAAAGTGAGGATTGACAAGTGAGGATTAACAAGCAAATTACCTCTAGAGGTTAGTGGAGACCCCAAATTCGAAGCACACTGCAAAAGGCCTATGTGAGAGAGACATAGAGAGAGAGAGAGAGAGAGAGGGAGAGCGAACGACAGAACAGACAAAAGAGGCAAGGAAGGCAGAGAGCAGAAAAGAGCAGGCTCCATGGAGGCCTCAGATCTCATTTTCACAGGGAATTGGGAAGCGAGGGTGCTGGTTAGTGTAATTAATTATTGAATCAAACAAGTTTGTGCTAATAGAGTCTCTCACTGCATGAGAATATCTACCAATAGAATGTTTGAATAATTCACAGCCAGTGCTCACAAAAACATATTCTTGACACCACTGCCACTGTGTTCACTCTCAAACGAAACCCTTCTGAAACACAATCTGCCTAACATACCATCACTGTCACAACAAAACCTCACATGTCCAAAACAGTAACTTCACAGAAGAAAAACAATGTTCTTAACTTTAATGTATTGAGATTTTAAAAAGAAAATATGATTTGTAAGGTTTTGACATGAAAGTGCCGATATGTCAGACATATACTGCATATACATTCACTGGCCATTTTATTAGGTCAGGCATACAATTATCCAATCAGCCAATCATGTGGCAGCAGTACAATACATCCATCAAGGTCAAGAGCTTCTGTTAATGTTCACACATGAGAATTGTGACGAGAGAGGTCAGAGGAGAATGGCCAGACAGGTTAGAGCTGACCGGAAAGCTACTTGAATGATGACACTTTACAACAATGGTAATCAGAAAAGCATCACTGAGGTGGATGGGCTACAACAGCAGAAGACCATATTAGTTTCCACTCCTAGTTGAAGCCATGCCACGAAAAAAATCAGGCTGTTCTGTACTATATTACAAGGTGACAATTTTGTTGAAGTGAAATTATGTTAACACTTATACAAACTTAAATATAGCTTGTTCTGCACATTTTACAGTTTCTATTTATTTCCTGAGTTTAACATACAGTATTGCAAAAAACTAAAACATAAAATCTAAAATGAGCTGTAACTTTTGCTCAGGCCACATTTTATCTTTTCTAGTTTTCAGTGTTTTCTTTGTTTCTGTTTTTTTCCAATATGTTAAATTCAGCAAATAAACAGTAATTGTGCATTAAAATGTGCAGAAGTGTGTTCTCTGTAGAAAAGCAAGAAAACACGTAATTTGACCATGGGTGCCCAAACTACTGCATATGACTGTATATGCTTTCATGAGTCAAAATAAAAGGCCCATTTGCGTTCCACAAGATATCTGCCCAACAGTCTGAAGTTTCTATCTAAGAATTACTGCAAACACATACTAACCTTTTTCCAACTTTGTGTTTTAAAAAAAATACATGAAATGTTTTTACACATTCTCTGTGTGTGTGAGTGTGCCTTTCTGTGTGCTGCCGTGGCAACGGGGTAGCGGCGTGACAAATCCCTGTCCTACCGAGAGGCCATCTGTGAGTGGAAACAGTGGCCGAGACACAGAGACCCGGAGCCAAACTGCCAAGCTCCGGGACCTGGGGCTGGGTGAGGAAGGGCCAGGCCAGTGAAGGTGAGAGGAGAGTGTGGACGGTGGGGGAGGGTCCTGGGGTGTCTCACCTGGCTCTCCACCAGCATGGCCATGTCCATGAACATGTCGTGCAGTTCACGAATGCTGTTCTCCAGCTTAATGATCTCATTGTGCCGGGTCTCTATCTCGTTCATGGCCTGCTGGGTGATGTTGGAGTCCATGATGATCTGTGGTGAGACGGAGTGACAAACCAGACAGACAGACAGAAGGCGTGTAAATCTCTGACCTCAAGAATCACGTCTGCTTCCTTAGGAATCCAATCAGTGCACCCTGATGAATGACTTTTGCATGATTAAAAGATTAGATAGATAGATAGATAGATAGATAGATAGATAGATAGATAGATAGACAGATAGATAGATAGACAGATAGATAGATAGATAGATAGATAGATAGATAGATAGATAGATAGATTATTTTTAGATAGATAAATACAGTATATGGAAAAAAATATTGGGACACCCCTCCTAATTCAAGTGTTCAGATCTGACATTCAACTGTAAGTGGTATTATTGTGAAATGGAAGCATCTATAAGCAACAACAGTTTAGCCACAAAGTGGTAGACCTTACAAACTCACAGAGTGGGGCCAATGAGTGCTGAAGTGCACAGTGTCTATCCTCTGTTGAATCACTCACTAAAGAGCTCCAAACTGCCTCTGGAAGCAACATCAGCAAAAGAACTGAGCATCAGGAGCTTCATGAAATGGGTTTCCATGGCCGAACAGCTGCAAACCAGGCTAAGATCAAAATGCACAATGCCAAGTGTCAGATGCAGTGGAGTAAAGTGCCGCCACTGGACGCCACAGTGGAAATGTATTCTTTGGAGTGATGATTCACGCTTCTCTATCTGTCAGTCTGATGGACGAGTCTGGGTTTGGCGAATGCCAGGAGAACATTACCTGCCTGACTGCACTGTGCCAACTGAAAAGTTTGGTGGAGGAGGGATGATGCTATGGGGTTGTTTTTTAGGGGTTGGCCTAGAACCCTTAGTTCCAGTTAGGAGAAATCTTAATGCTTCAGCAGACCAAGACATTTTGGACAATACTATACTTCCACCTTTGTTTGAACAGTTTGGGGAAGAACCTTTTCTGTTCCAGCATGGCTGAACCCCAGTGCAGGGTGAGTTTGGTGTGGAGGAACTTGACTGGCCTTCACAGATCCCTGACCTCAACCCCATCGAACACCTTTGGGATGAACTAGAACAGAGATTGTGATCCAGGCCCTCTCGTCCAACGTCAGTGTCTGACCTCACAAATGGATGAAAGCATTCCCACAGACACTCTCCAACATCTTGTAGAAAGCTTCCCAGAAGAGTGGAAGCTGTTATAACTGCCATGGAGGACCAACTCCATATAAATGCCTATGGGTTTAGAATAGAATGTCATGAAAGTTCCGGTAGATGTACTGTGTAGGTGTCCCAATACTTTTGTCCATGTAGCGTAGACAGATGCACACACACACACACACACAGAGCTCAGGATCAACAGGTCTCCTTTTTTTCTTGTCAATTCCCACCAAACTTTCTGCCCTCTGGCCTTTCCAATTCCCCTGTTAAGCAGCCCTACAGCTGAGATCAAGATGACTTTTGGATGCTATCAAGATTTGCTCATTCTGCTGGAGGAGAGGCAGAGGCCCTGTCTGGAATATCAATGGCTCCCTACAAGCCTGTGAGTGACAGCAGGGGACGGGCAACCAGGCCGAATATATCTCTTTTACTTACAGGCGCACACAAACACAGAGGGGTGAGATGAGGACACAGTTCCTATGCTGGGCGTGTGCGTGAGAGGGAGAGATACAGTGTGTTTCAAAGTGAAGGTATCTGTGTGTATGGGTGTGTTTTTCACACATTTTGGGGGGAAAAAGGCCAAAATTAAAAACAAAAAATCTTTTTACAAAAGCCTCAAGTTTTATTGTTTTAAACTGAAATGATTTGTATTTCCTGAGGTTACCATTCTGATTAGGCTGCATTACGTGCATATGACATTTATATGTATTACATACAAATACTTATATACTTTTATATATCACTACTGTCAGAACAAAAATCTCCAAAATGATAACTTTACAGGAAAAGAAAAAAACATACTTTACTTTAATGTATGTCAATGGAACAAGTAATTCTGAGCCTGTTCTATGTGGTCCATTCATCATGAAATTTACACACAATGTAAAGGACAAAAAGCAATTTTCAAATTATGTCAAAAACTGGAAAATGACAAAAATGGAGATACAAAGTTTTGTTCTGACAGCAGTGATGTGTGTATATATATTGTCTTCTCAAAGTGGAAGGAACTGTTTCCACAGTTTTTCTGTCTATCAGCTCTTCCAGGTGGTTGTTAGGAGTTCCATTTCTCTGTAGCTTTTAATCATTTTTGAACTCCAGTTTTGGAATCTCCTGTCTTTTCGCTTCCTTTCCTTTAACTTTCTCTTCTTTTTGCAAGTGGATTATCTTTAATCTAATCTCCTTAGAAATATCTCTTGAAAAATAAATAAGTTGTATTTAATGGCTGTTTTGACTAGACATTAAATAAATAAAGGGTGTCTCTGACTTTTGTACAGTACTGTATAATATTTCTGGGACATACACACACACACACACACACACACACACACACACACACACACACTTCATATGGGACATTAGTATTACAAATTTGTACACTGGCACATACAGGACAACCTGACGTTGTACAAAAACAAGTGTTCAAAAATAGGAGAGATGCTGTGCAGTTCCACTCACCCCCGAAGTGAAGATAGCTGGGTTGTCACTTTCCAGCATGCTTTCCAGCTCCTCGTTTGTGGTCTTCCTGCCAGCTACACACACACACAGACACACACACAGAAAAATACACTTAATGCAGCAATCACAGTGGGCTGTTATGCTGGTACATTTTGTGCCACACATTTCCTAACCTCACAGCCTCTGAGACCCAGGCACACAGGAAACATGGAGAAAAATTTGTCTGCATCAGCAATGGACACAGGCAAACAGCCCCACCAAATAACTTACATGATGTAATGCACTGTAATTACTTTATAAAACATTCTCATGCATTTTCTGTTAGTTTCCTCTAAGCCACATATAACTTTGACGATTAACTGTTTTAAAAAGCCTAAACTATAAATAGGAACTTGCAAAAAAATTCAAAATTCTTCACTGGGAAAGGATTCATTAGGAGGCTTTTGGAAAGACTAAAAAACAATATGTGCAGTATGTGCGGCAAAATGAGTGACCACCCTTTATTTATTTCATTTCCAGTCAAAACGGCCATTAAATACAATTTACACATTCTTCAGTGTCAAGACAAAAGCAGAAAACAGTTATATCAGTATTTATTGTGTCCACACTTATTATGTGCCTTTATTACAGCTTCCATTCTTTTTAAGAAAAAGAAATCTACAAGTATGTTTTTACACACCTCCGAAGTTCAGTCTTAGAAGTTGGTTTTACATTTTCTGCTTCTCTGCATTTAAGAGAATGAAAAGAGTCGGACAGAAATGCGAGAGATCATTGAGCAGAGTGGACAGCTAGATTATGTCCAGACTCTTAGCGCAGAGAGCCAGCCTTTCTTCTATAGTCCTGCCAGAAAAGAGAGGCAGCATGGCGGGGGACCGGCCTGCACTGGTCATTGGAGCTCATGTACCCTCTGCCAGGAGAGGCCCTGCTGCTGGTGTTGTCTGTGAGAGTATGTGAGTGGGTGGGTTGGTGGGGTTGAAATAAAGTGTTAAGTATGTCCAGACCAGCCACCCAAAACTTGGTGCAAGCTAACACACTTAAATATGAACAGCAAGCTCACATTTGTGCTCATATGAACTGAATGTGGAGAGTAAATAGACAATTACAATTACTGTGAATGAATTCGATGCCCTGTCCATCTGTCTACGAATTTTCTTTTTCTGCTGCGAAATCACAACAGACATCAGAGAAGTGGAGAAAGTACAGATCTAGTGGAAAGGTGTAGTATCCCCCTGCAAATGAAGTGACCTCAACAGGCCTTACGGTGGCACTATAATGCAGCATTTTGCATTTTGGCCCATTTCTCATGAATGAGTCGTCCAGTTAAAAATTCTTGACAAATAAGGCAAATCAAAAAGCCTCAGTGGCCATGTCCTTCTGTCATACTGGATTTCAGTCCTTGCAAGTACATTTCTGAGAACACGTATAGCTTTTTGAATATTTTATTTAATACGTTAGACTGTTAATTTTTATTAATAAGTTAGACTACAACATATAAAATACACAAACATGTACTTTTTTATATGTAAGACACGTTTCAAATACATTCCAGAATGTATTCCAAACATTAAAGGTCAATAAAAGACATTTTTGAATGTATTCCATAATTACACATAGCTGCAAATACATATTTGTAGTATGAACGTGTGCAGTATTCAAAATACTCAATATTCCCTTATTAAAAATAATCAAAAATTGCAGCTTTTCCCCAAAAGCATAAATACCTATCATAAATACCAGCCTTTTATTTGCTAGGGTCCCTTACTTCTCCATAATGCATGGAACCCTAATGATTGCCACTCGCACAACTTATTAGTCTTCTGCAGGGACTTTTCTTCAAGCTAATCGCTGCGATGCTGTAACATTAAGTCACAACTGTGAATCAAATTTAACTAAAAAATTCTGTAACCGCTTCTAACTCAAAACTGACATAGTTTTAGACTTACCACCATTTTACCATCATCAACATCAAAAATAAGTGAAATTACCCTTTAAGACTAACTCTATACGCCTAAAGGGCAAAATAGTCTTGCTGGAAGGTACAGTTTTGTCCTTGCACTTAATTAGTACATTCACAATCAGGACACATGAAACTTTCATAAAACTGACTCACTGCTCTGTATAAGATGTGATCCCTGTAGACCAAAGACCTATATTTTTCTTAAGAATGCCATTATTCTTAACAGTGCATGTGTCCTGATAACGAATGCATTAATACAGTGCCAGCCCAGGAGTGGATTTTCTAGCAACACTTTGTGTGTAGACTCATACACAAAATGTGAGAAGTCCTGTTTTCAAACTAATCTAAAGCAACATGTACTTTCCTGAGGGAGTTAATCTGCTCTTTGCTGTCCTTAGAGCCACAAAATAAGGCAAAAATCACAAAAGACGTGCATTACAGCGATTTAATCGTATAAGGAAGTCAAAGGCAAAAAACCTGTGAAAAAAACAAACCTGAAGTTCAGAAAATGATTAAAAGATGAAGAGAAAACTGGACTCCTAACAACCATGTAAGACCTGGTTGACCACCAAAACTGCCCCCATCAGATAAACAGCACTTAAAGCTTTCATCTTTGAGAGAGAGGAGAAAATCAAGCTGCTTCAGATCTGAAAACATCCACAGGTGTTTCTGTCCATCCTTCCACTGTGAGAAGACGACTCAGCGCTATGGGTCTGAAAGGATGTGGAGCTGTCAAGAAGAACCTCACTGAGAAAAGGAGACGGACACATCAAACAAAGAAGCTGACCAATAGACTGACCACCCCAGAGTCCAGACCTCAATATCACGGAAGGAGTCAATTTCTAAGACTGAACTTTGGAGGTGTGAAAAAATATCCCTGAAGATTTCTTTAAAAAACTGAAAGGAAGTCTGAACAGAATGAAAGCTGATTTTTGAGAAACTTCGTTCTTTAGCTTCGTATACCAAACCTGAAGTACAAAACCTGGGTGTGATCTTAGACTCTGAGCTCTGTTTTATCCCACATGTAAACACAGTCACTAAAGTAGCTTTTTACATTTGAGAAATATTGCTAAAGTTCGGTCTTTTCTCTCAGAGCGACAAGCAGAGTTGATCACTGTAATGCTCTTCTTACTGGACTTCCTAAGAAACTATACATCCCTTACAACTTGTACAAAATGCAGCAGCACGCATCCTAACAAAAACAAAAAAGAGAGATCAGATCACTCCCGTTTCAAAAGAACTGCACTGGCTGCCTGTATCGTTCAGGATAGATTTTAAAGTTCTGCTCCTAGTTTTTAAAGCTCAAAATAACCCTAAAGCACCTGCTTACATCACAGAGTGTCTGTCTGTTTATGTTCCAGCACGTAATCTAAGATCTGCAAATAGTGGCCTTCTACAAATACCCTCTGTAAAATACAGAAAAGATGGAGAGACTCATCCAGTTATTATGCTTCTAAACTGTGAAACTCAATTCACCTTTCATTAGACAGTCAAGCTCAGTGCTCACTTTTAAGAAGCATCTAAAAACGTCTCTCTTTAACTCAGCATTTAATTAAAACTCTACGTCTCGTGGTGTTTATTTTCTAATCTGATCTGTTTCATTTTCTTCTGATACTAAATAAATACTAATGATTTCTTGTATAACCATGTTTTATCACCTGTCTGTAAAGCACTTTGAGCTGCCACCAGCATGAAAAGTGCTATATAAATAAAAATTATTATTATTATTAAAACAATTAATAAGGGAAAATGTGAACTATATTTAGTTATTGAGGCTTCTGTGTTTTCTGTTTTTGTATGTGCTGAAGTAAATGAAGTAACCGATCCTCAGCGGCAGTTATTGACAGTTATTGTGAAAATAATGTGTAGAGCTAACTGTAGTAGTAATATTACAGTGCACAAAGATGAGGCACCGCCTCAAACTGAAAAGACAAACAGAGAGTATTGTGACTCGGCCCTCGTTCATGTAAAACAAGGGATCAGAGGACACACTTTCATTCTTAATCGCTTCTCCTGTAGCTCCTTATCAATATGACTTCATGGCATCACTTATCTGAAACATTCATTTGTCTGACCATCTATCTGTCCCCTGGCTCTCCTCTCTTTCCCAGCAGTGCTGCATTTTTAAACAGGTCCATCTGCATTCATTTAACCACCTGTCCAGCCTCAAGGTTAATTAGCGAGCCCTGCTGAATTAATGGACGTAAAGGTGAGGGTGAGTCACAGAGGGGTGTCTCTCACACGCAGGGTCCAGGGCAGCAGAGGAACGTGGGACAGTGCTGCAGGGGTGCCGGGGGTATCTCTAAATCAATTGCAAATGTGCATGTTGGTATGCAATGGGGATGTGACCAAATCTGGGAAAACATCACTTCGGATAAAAGGACAACATGCACGAAATATAGAGATGTGATTATGGGGCAAAGGGCAACAATGTCCATATTCAACATTTTTCCTCCTTTTCCACCACAAGTACAGTGGCAAAAAACATCCTGGCATGAGGAACGTGCACCTCCATAGATAAAAATGTTTCATTTCTGCAACATCACGACTAGCACAACCCAAAACTTCAAACTAAACATGTCGTTCCACTCATTACTGAAAAATGTAAGTTGAGTTGGCTCGAAATTTTAATAGGTAGTGACAAAATATGTCAACTGTACAAACATTACTCTGCAGTCTAAAAAAAGATGGTTCTTTAGTAAAAAAAATGGTTCTATATAGCACCCAAAAGGGTTCTTCTATTATTACGATGTCCAGCTTGTAACAACAGCAGAATTCTTTTGGGTGCTATATAGAACTCCATCAATCTGAAGAACCCATTCATGATGCAAAGAACCCTTTAATCATTCAAAGGGTCCTTAGAGTGTCCGTGGTTCTACATAGGACCATTTTATTTATTAAGATCCCTTGAAGAACCATTTTTTGTAGTTTTCAAGTGTGGTGACTATTTATGAATATTTTCATATTAATTCATATTTCCCTTAAATGGCCAGGTTTGTGGGCCCAAAGTTTTCGTACACTCCTTTTAAACCTAAGAATAGCTCAGCCAGTTTGCACTGAAGTCCCTGTAGTTACTGAATAATAAGCCTTAGAAATGTAATAAGCCTGGGATTTTAA